TGTCCAGGTGAGCAGTTGCTGTAGCTGGTGATAACTAGGTCATATTTACAGGGTGTGACTGGCTAACCAGAGCTTAGGTAGAATGTTTCCTAGACTTTGCAATAACACTGTGGAGTTATTTTTATTGCTGCTTTACAAAAGAGGAAAGAGGTTTATAGATGTTGAATAATGCAGCCAAGGTTGTTAGCTGTGTGAACCAAACCCAGCTAGCCTACCCCAAGTCTCTATTGCTGACCATGGGGCTCCCTTGTGTAATGTCAGTGTGTGTAGGATGGGACATATTTGGCTTCTCTTTCTCTATCTATCCTGTGACTCACTGGAGGACAATGACTTTGCTGGCTAGGACCTTACTTTTCTTTTGGGCACACAAACAACTTTACTCCATGCACATGTGATGTCTGGGCAGCTGACTGCAGGATGTTGCAGACAGGGAAAAGGTTTTATTTCGTCACATAGGAAGTGGCACGGGGCCGATGAGCTGGCAGTGTGCAGGGCAATGTTTGCAGGGAGGATTCAAGAGGCTCTTATTCTTTTCTAGCCAGGAGCCCTTGGCCTTGGTCTTTTCAGTGCCTTTTTGGTCATAGGATCTCATGCCACAAGAAGAAGGCATTCAGTGGTGAACATGGGCTGGTCCTGGTCTTGGGTTGAGTTTTCTTGAGTGGAAGGGAAGCCTCCAGGTCCTCACAATGCTTAGAGATATTCTGTGATATGGAGATGCACAAGGCTAGAGCTATGGAAGTAGTGGTTGAAGATGGTTCTTAGGATGTGGACTTGGAAGAAAATGGGAAGCAAGACAGAGAATGCCCATAAGTTAGTGTACAATCTCCTGGTCTGTGGGACAGATAGTCTTGTGTGGGACCTTGTGGGATAATGGGAGATGTATGGGTGTGGTGGATGATGACAGTGGGAAAGGGATCACACTCCTCCATGCACAGTGGGAGGTCTGTGTCCCCTCCCCTTAAATCTGGATGGGCTGATGATGGCTTGTTTTGGCTTGGCTGACACAGGCCTCAGGAGACTCAGGCTTCTTCTTGATGCTTGGAATACTCACTCTCAAAATCTGGCTGCTCTGTACCGAGGATGTTGAATGGGACTGAGGAAAGGTCTATGTAGAGAGAAACTTAAGGTCTGACCTTACAGCTGTGCTTGCTGCCCACAGCCAGAACCACCTTCCAGCTACACTAGTGGGATTTTGGCAGCGGGTCTCAGCCTTGCTGAGCTGCCCTAGCTGCATAGAGCAGAGCAGAGCTGTCCTTATTGACTCCTGCCCAAGTTCCAGATTCATGAGCTAAATTGATGACTGCCGTTATTTTAAGCCACTCAATTTTGGGGTGGTTTTTCAGGCAACAATAGATAACTATAACAGTGGATGACATGGGGGAGTAATCCACAAAATTACTTGTACTTAGAGTGTGTGTGTGTGTGTGTGTGTGTGTGTACACATGTGTGCCTATTCTTAGGCTAACTATTCGGATAGTGGTACAGAGTTCATGTCATTGAATGCAGTCAATCATTCAGATACTAAAGGTGAATGTAACGACAATTGAAAAGCAACATTTTTTGTTGTTCCAACAAAGCTTTGATGTAGTACTTTTTTACTTTTAAATTTGCTAAGGAGATTGCCCACGTGTCACGCTAGCTGGGGAAAGTCAGGTAAAGTCATGGCAGAAACTCACTGAAAGACAAAACTCCCGACTCTGCAGTAAGGGGAGCAACAGTGACATCCGGGTCAGGCTGGAACACCAACCAGGTTCTTCCTGTCATTGTAAGGCTGAGTTTTCCCCCAGCATCTCTTCAAGGGCTTGGGTTCTTCCTTATTTTCCTTGAGAGACTAGAGCATCATTTTCTCTTTCTTCCATCAGAGGGACAGCCACAGGGCTTGATGGTGTAGCTTAGACAATGTCAGTAAATAAAAGTTTTTAAAAAAAATATTGAGCAATATTCTCCCAGCGTGCAAGTCCCAGTTTGGGAAAAAATTAGGGCCTTTTGGAAGCTGCCTTAACTCTTTGAGTCTCCACGGTACCATTCAGCAAATGATCAGCTCTGCGTGTCAAATAGCACCCCAGTGGCCTGAAAGAGTTAAAGCAGCCTCTGGAAGAGCCCATGGCAGTCCCAGGAAGGAGCCCGAGCCTTGGGAGAGCTGGCTCCGAGTACAATTACTGTTCAACTCGCAGTGGCCCCATTTGCTTTATTGTAGAGTGCTTCCTGAAGTCCCAGTGCTCCAGAGACAATATAGATACTTCTGAGTCAACCGCCTGCAAATTGGTCTTTGAAGGGCTCGAGGGTGCAGAGAAGGAGACACAGGAATTTGTTAGAAAGACATTGCAGCAGCGTACATGGTCCTGGGGAGAGAAATCATCTCCCCACAGAAGTTCTGACCCTAGAAGATGGATTTTCTTTCCAGGGTGGCCATGCCAGGTGACTGCTGGGCTCCAGATGGCCACCACCAGTCTCCCAGACAGGCAAATGGTACTTGGCCTTTCTGTGTACATGAAAGCATTCACCTCTGGGTGCTGATTCTGGGTGCTTCACCTCCAGCTCAGCCTCCGTTTCTGCAAAGTAGGCATAAAGAGAGTGCCAACCTCAAGGTGTGGGAGGGTCAGTGGAGAAAATGCACTCATGGGCTTAGTCTAGCTTGAGAAATTTGATTTGATGTGAATTTTAGAATTCTGTACAACTAAACCAAAATAATACCAAATTAACAGACAGACGAGAAACCTGAAATAACTGCAAATGTATTATATATCAAAGGCTAATTCTTAATATATAAAGATCTTTGGGCCAGGGATTTAGCTCAGGGGTTCTGGAGCCTGCTGCGCAAACACAAAGTCCCAAGTTTGATCCCCGGTACCAAAAACAAACAAACAAACAAACAAAAAATATATAAAGATCTTCTTTAAATAAATAAAGGAGTAAAAATCTTAATAGAGTAATAGGCTAAGAATAAAAATGGCAGATTCATGAAGCATGAGAAGCATTTATCCACTCTGGTAATCAAGACTGAAATGGGGAGATACGTTTTCTTCCTTGAGGTTTTTCATTGCAGATGAACAGGCATGAGAACACCCATGTAGATGTGGAAAAGCCAGCTTCACATGGAGCCCATGGAGTCTAGCTTGGTAAATTTTATCAAGAGAAAAAGCTAGCAATAGGCACCAAAGATTGAGAAGACAGTACACACTTTAATTTGCAATTCTACGTTTTCGAGTTTATCTTTTTTTTTTTTTAATTTAGAAAGAAAAGTGCATGGTTCTGGAGGCTAAAAGTCCAAGCCCATGGCACTGGCAAACCCTCAGCAGCTGGTGAGGGCCTTCTTGTTGCACCTTAACAGAGGACATCACATGGCAAGACAAAAGTGTGCTAGCATGGATCTCTCCACTTCTTAGAAAGTCACTAATGCCACGATGAGTTCCCACCCTCATCAACTCTTCTAACCCTAATTACCTCCCCGAAGCCCTGCTCTAAGCTACCATTGACATATGAATTTGAGTTTCCAACACATGAACTTTTGGGGGGGGCACATTTAAATCATAGCATAGTTGAAGAAAGGAAGGCTTCAAGTATGTTCTGATTGGAGGTTGTTAACATGAGTAGGTTGCAGGCAGCTATCAGTGGGTATTCCTGTGTGATTATTTAGGGGTGAATAGACCATTGGCTTTCTGTGGTTAGTCTTTCTGCAATTCTAGTATAGAAAGCAGACTTGCTTCTGGGGATGGCAAAGGGAATTAATGGGTTTCTTTCCTGAGCTAGTTGCTGCAGATTGTGGGTCAGTTCTATTTTTATGTATGATCTGGCCATTGTCCACTGTACATTCAGTCTCTCACTTGGACATAGCCTCTAGTAGGTCTCAGTGTACTGTGTTGTAATTGATAACTCATTCGCATCAGGTAGTAGAACACAAGGACCACATTCTCTTTGCCTATTGCCCAAGTAAGTATATTCAGAGAAGTGCTACAGATGGTAAGTTCTGCCACAGTTCTGGGGTGAGAAATTACTTCCCAGACTGGAAACCTTCATTCCCCCTTGGCAGTTCTGGAGGCTGAGCAGTTCAACGTTGAAATTCCAACAGGTCTGAAGTCTGGTAAGAGCAGCTCTTTCTGCTTCTGAGATGGGGCCCTGTTGTGGTAGCCTCCAGAGAAGGACTGCTGTATCCAAACCCAATGGTGGGAGGGCAAAGGACATTTTTGAGTTTATCTTAAGGAAATTATTGAATGACTAAAGCAAAGATGGCTGCGTAAGATTTGAAAACTGTGCTGTGGTTTGGATGTTGTTTGAGTGTGTTCCCCAAGGTTGATGTGCTGGAAGCTTGGTCTCCAGTGGTGTATTCTTGAGGCTGGAAAGTTAGGAGGGGGGTTCCTGGGAGGTGATCACTTCATGGGGCCACTGCTCCGGGGAAGAATCAGTGCTGGTGCCCCATGCTTGAGGCCCCTTCTGCACGTGGCTCCCTTTTCTGCTCCTCTGCTATGTGGTAACACAGTCACCGCAGAGGACAGACAGATGAGGGCCCCTGATCTGGATCTTTCATTCCCTAGAGCACCTCTGTTCTATTGAAAGCTTCAGGTATTTTGTTGCAGCATTAGAAAAGGGACAAGCCACTGAGTAATAGGTGGGTCAGACATAGCAGTGATGGGGTAAGGAAGGTGGGAGGAGGGCTACTGAGTCACTCTTGGCATCCCCATCTGGGCAGCTGGGCATGTGGCAGGGTCATCCTGGCACCAGGTGCAGCAGTTTGGGGGCAGGTGGTGGTTGGTCTCTGAGCACCGGGAGCAGGTGTCTGGGAAGATCTCCAGCTTGATGAGATGTGTGGGTCTGGGCGCAGCAGGCATTTCAAGGCATTGTATGTGGTCCGGGTTGAAGCCAAGGTAGGGGATGGGGTGGCCTTGTGGAAGCACTGGGAACGGTGAGCCATTGGCGGGGGCTGGCCAAGAAGGAGCAAGGTGATTGTCTGTCTTGCTTGTGGAGTTGACACCTCTGACCCAGTCCTGTTTGTTGCCCGCCAGGCCTGGGAACACTCTGTGGGCATCATCTGCTTCCCCAGTCTCCAAAGGTTGGCAGAAGATGTTTCCAACCAGCTTGCCCAACAAATCCAGAGGGTCCTGGCCGGGAAGCCTGCAGGTGAGATAGCGGTCTGCGGGAATGAATGCAGGCTGCAGGCAGAACCCTCCTGACCTGTGCCTTGGGCTCAGCCTCCTTCCGCAGCTAGGCAGTGCCCACAGCAGGGCCAGACCCAGTCTGCCTCTGAGGTCTTCCAGACAGAGGGAAAAGCGGGGGAAGGGGGAAGGTGCTCTTGGGGCACAGACACACGCAGTCATACTGCACACACTGCACACGCAGGCACACAGGTGCACACAGTCACACTGCACATTGCACATATAGAGGCAGGTACAGTGCCACTGAGCTGCATCCCAGGCCCTCACACTGCACATATATAGACAGTGAACACAGACACAAGCAGGCACACGGATGTGAGCTACACCTACACATGATAGTGTGCACACAGCCATAGAAGCACACATAGGTCAAGTGTACTCAGTACACACAGACACACAATCACACAGAGATACTACACACATGTGATTCACGCAGACAGTCTTACACAAAGACAGGGACACATAGAGACACACAGTGCCACACACACGGGCAGGTTTCATGCAGACAGACACACAGGACAGGGCCTCCGCCAAGAGCTCGGCCTGGTAAAGATACAGGGGCCTGAGTGCACCTCTTTGGCAGAGTCTGTGACCTGCACACTTTCGCTCCTGTGACCGGGCAAAGTGTGTGTGGCTGTGGGCTGAGGGGCAGGAGGAGCCTGAGCACAAAGCACACTACGGGTCCCTGTCCGAGATGCAGGGATGGTAATGAGGCTCCACAGTGGGGAGCGAGTTCTCACTCTCTGGGCATGGACACCCTAGTGGCCACTAGGCTGCGCTGGTTGGTGGCAGGATGCAGCCTGTCCTCCAGGCAGACTCGTCAGCTGCCTGTGTGTTGGTGGAGATGCGGGTGCCCCAGGATGTGCAAACAGCAGTCAGGGCCCTCTGCAGGGGCAGGAGTAGGTCCCGTGTGAGGGGCAGAGGGGAGGCCCAGGTGGAAGGAGCTGGGGTGCACAAGTCCCTGCACCCCAGCTACTTGCTGTCTTCCAGAGCAAGCACGGGTGGCAGCTGGGCAGTTGCTGAGGTGGAGAGGGGACATGGATCAGGACGGCCACCTGCTCCTGAAGTCGGTATATGTGCTCACTGGGACAGACGCGGTGAGTTCACTAGCCTCTGCTGGGTGCCTCTGGTGTACAGAGGGCTCTGACACAGCAGGTGGCATGTCCCCAAGTGTCTTCCTTTTCTCCAATCTGATCACTTCTCTGCTCTTCTCTCTGCCATGGAACACAGACTTCAGGGTCTGAAATTCAGGTTTGAATCCTGCTTTCCCTTTGACAAGATTTTACCTCTCTGCTACTAGGCTGTGTCTCCAACTATAGAATCAGAAGCAATCATACCTCTCTTGTAGGTCCAGTACGCAGAGTGAAGGGCTGATGTTTATTATTTCCTGCCTGTGGGGCAGGGCCGATGCATCCTACACATGGTGCCAGTCAGAGACCTCCCACCCCTGCAGCCCTGAGTCTGACTGTGGCAATGCCACAGTAGTGACAAGAAAACACCTTGTGGGTGTCAGCCCCCCTCTGACTCAGAGCCTCTCTGAACCTTTGCTCTTCTTTTGCTTCCTAACAAACCCACAGGCTGGCCCACAACTGCCCACTTTGGCCCTGATCCTGGGGCGACAGCCCTGCAAATGGAAAGGGGAAAATGGCCCTTCATAGCTATAGCCTCCAGCAGAAATGGCCAAGACTCCATGCAGGGAAGACCTAGAAACCTCTGCATAGCATGGGAGTGGGTGGTAAACTGCACGGGCACAAATGGGTTCAGAGCCGTGAAGCCTCGAAACAGTGCACACCTATGGTCTGAGGGTGGAGCCAAAGCCAGATCTTCAGTATGGATTGGGGAAGGACCTCTGGCCATTCCTCAGGTTGGCCAACCAGAACCACCACTGGGTGGGCACCACCAGTGGCCTGAGAACCAGGACTTGTCAGCCCCGGAAGTCCTCTCCGCAGTTTGAGTGGGGACAAATCCACATGATGGCTTGCTGTACACTGGAGCAAGTGGCCCTGAAGCAGGAAAGGAAGGAAGAGCAGCTGCCCTAAAGCCTGGGGAGGCTGGGGAGACTGGGGATGGCTGCAGAATCACATCCAGCCAGGTGGACGTCACCTTCCATGGGATCCTTTGGCGTGGGTCCCCAGCTGTGTGCCAGCTGTGTTACATCCTGATTCCAGGGAAAGGAGGCCCAGGAAGCTCCATCTCCACTGCCCTGCTGTTCTTGTGGCCTCTGCTGGTGGCCCCAGGCTGCTGCATGGCACTTTCACTGGTCCACTTTGGTCTTGGCAAAGGCTGGGATCCAGGCCAGAGAGTGGGTGCCTTGCAGCCACGCCCTGTTGTTCACCCACCTGTTACCAATCTCAGTGGCAGTGATTTGCTAGGAAGCCTCTGTGATCTCTTATCCCCTCTCTCTCCCCCTTCTCTGTTTTCTTTCTGTTTGTGTTCTTTCCTTCTTTCCTCCCTCTCCTCCTCCATGTACCTTGTAAGAGAGCTCACCTTACTGAGCACACAGTAAGCACTTTATATAAACATCACCTTCACAGTCACTGAGGTGGGACCCATGGTTGACTGCGTTTTGCATTTGAAGAGATGGTGCTCAGAGAGAAATGATGTCCCCACAGCCCTCACAAAGTGGGCAGGAAGCAGGGCCAGCTCACATGTGCTTTTCCCTTGCAGAAGACACTGAGCAGAGTGGCTGAGTCTGGACTCCCGGCCCTACTCCTCCAATGCCTGTACCTCTTCTTCGTCTTTCCTGTGGACAAGGACGAGCTCTTAGAGAGTGACCTTCAAGGGCAGAGGATGTTTGTGCAGGTGAGAGATACAGGCCCTCTCACCCCAGGCCACAACCTGGCTGCTGGAGCAGACTGTCAGGGGCTGCTGGGAGACTTGACTCTCAGCCCCGATTGTCCCCTTTAAGCACCACATGGCATCGCTGTATCAACATCCCTGCCTCCTCCTGCAGTCTGCACTCAGGTCCTCACTCTCTGGCTCCTGGAAACCCCTCTCTCTGGACCTTTCCCCTCTGAGAACACACATAAGCCCAACTCATAGAACAGGAGCCACGAAGCACCTGGTGGTAGGGACACATTCTCAGAAAGACACTGTTAAGTTTGGGAACTTTGACGTTGAACGCTGCAGAGTGTCCGCCCAAACCTACATTGTACTGGTCACTATGCAGCTGGCCTCTTGCTACAATCCAGAGGCACAGCAAACATGAGTCCTGTTTTATGATAAATTATTTTTTAATAAGTGGAAGGAGTGCACTCCAAACTGCCTTGTGTGGGCCACACTGAGCCAATAGCAATTGTCTTAGGCCACATATAAAATATATAATATAGTTCACATATATATATGAAACAAAACTTCTCTTTTAGAAATATTTTTTATTATGACTTTTGCATGTCTGTCCCGCAGGCCACATGTTGGACTTGCCTGCTTCTGAAACAATGAGAAGTATAGCACAGTAAGTGGAGAAGCCCACAGCATAGCTGTTCGTAATCATTACTGAGTATTTAGGTACTGTATAAAATTGTATGTGCTGGGCTCATACAACTGGCAGCCAAGTGTGTCTGCTCACACCAGGGCTGTCACAAACATGTAGGTAGCATGTATGCTAGGACATTATCATGGCAACAGCCATGGCGTCCCTAGGCTTCAGGAATGTTTCACCGCCGCTGTGATGTCTGGGGTCAGTGTGATATATGTCTGCCATCTCATTATGTGCACCATTCCTGTACACCAGCCCTGCCCACGGGTTCCACTAGGCCCCCTGCAAGGCCCTCTGCTGTCATAGGATGTGTGTGTGTTGTCACCCTCAATCCATGCAGACTAAGGTGTGGTGGGTAGGTGTGGAGTTGTAGTTGCTGGGGACATAGGATGGTCACACTTTTCACTGCGATGTCACCTTTTTCCTTCTCTGAGAAGACAATTCTGGCTGCCTAGCATCAGGGGAACTCCCTCTTCTCATCTCCTCTGTCTCTTCTCTGTCAAGTACTTTATTTTTTTGTTGTTGTTTTTTGGTACCAGGGATCAAACTTGCGTCTTTGTGCTTGTGCAGCAGGTGGTGAAACCACTGAGCTAAATCCCCGGCCCTCCTGCCTCTTCTCTGTTGTCTGCTTTTTCTGCTGCTGAGTTGCTGTGTCCTCCAGCTGCTCCTCCTGCTTCTCTGTTCCCCAGGGCGAGGGAGCAGGGGACCCTGTGGTGTCCCATCACTGCATGACCATGGCTGCATCCCACAGGGGCTTCCATCCAAACGTTGCACAAAAAGACCATGCAGCTCTGTGTCAGACACAGCAGGCACAGAGTCCTGACTTGCATGGGTAACTGAAAAGTGGGGATGTCAAGTGAGGGACAGCAGTCCACGAAGACATGTGTAGCTACCCATTTTATAAGTGCTCTGAAGGGACAGTCAGAAGCACTCTGGGAGATGTTGGTGGGGAACAATTTACATTAGAGAACATGGCATGAGGTGTTCTGAGGACATGGCATTAACCAGAGGGCAGAAGGTGACAGGGACTCCAGGGTAGCCTGGCCCAGATGTGGTAGAGGGAGCAGGGAGGAGAGGGAAGCCAGCAGAGAAATGGTCATCCAAGCTCAAGGTGAGATCAAGGATACGTGGCCACATCAACCTGCAAGGGAGGTCCAGAGATGGGCTCAGAGGCCTGGCTGCACAGCTGTCCAGCTTCTGCTCCATCAACACACTAGAGGGGACAATGTGTTCATTCTGTGGAAGGAGCTTGTGACAGTTGTGACAGTTGTCAAGCTGGAAGGAGGTCCTGTTGGATCACTGAGAGTCCAAGGGTGAGCTGCACTTGTAAAGGGAGAGAGGACACAGGGCTGGTGCAGGAGGGACCCTGCGGTTGATGCCGGGGCCGTTGGATTGTACCCCAAGTGAGTTGGAAGGTATTGGAAGTCCCTCTGCTGGCCATGGGGAGACCAGACTGGTGGGGGCAACTGTGATCTCAGGGAGTAGTCAAGCTGGAGTGCCAATCAAGAATTCAGGAGCACCTCTCTTTCTGAACAGCATCGGGTCCTGTGAACTCTATACCTGAGTTGCTGATGGCATTTTTCTGTGTTGCCATATGAAGACACCAAAGCCACATCATCCCTCCCTGTTGTTTGCTGTTTTGCGTCCCACAGTTTCAGTTATCTGCAATCAGCCTGTGTTTAAAAATATTAGATAAAAAACTCTGGAAATGAACAATTCCTAAGTTAAAAAAATTTTTATTGTAGTATATTGTTGTAATTGCCCTAGCTCATTATTATTGCTGTTGTCAATCCCTTACTGTGCCTACGTTATAAATTGAACTTTTTCATAGGTAGGCACATATAGGAAAAAGTGCAGCATAGTGGGCCCTCAGTGTCCCCAGGTCCAGGATTTCCCATAGATAACAAAATCTGTGAATGTTCAAGTCTCTTACATAAAATTTGCATATAACCTATGCTCATTTCTCTATACCTTAAATCATCTCTTGATGACTTATAATACCCAATGCAATGAAGGTACTACATCAATAGCTGGTTGCTATGTTGTATTCTTTAGGGAATAATGACAAGAAAAAAGTTTGTACATTTTCAGTATAGTTGCAATATTTTCCACCTTTGTCAGTTGAGCACACAGGAATAGAGGAGGGCTGTATCCATAGGGTTTGGGGCTATACAGGGCTTCAAGCATCTGGACAATGACTTGGGATGTATCCCTGCAGATAAGGGGACAGCTGTGTCCTGATATGGAGAGCATAGGAATTGTCTGTGAGGATTATGGGTGCAGATGTAAGCCACACCTCTACTCTTCCTTCCCAGTGGGCCCTGTTGACCCTGGGGATGGGGACTGTGCTCACAGTCAGGTCCTTGTTTCTGAGACACATCCACCAATGCTCCAGAGAAGTGGAGAAAGATCCATCTGAGGAGGATCTGCTTTCTAACCAGAGCTCCTTGGTCTTCTTCCTCTACCTTCTCCTCAGATGTTGCTGAACCTGTGCAGTGAGCCTCAGGGTCTGGAGGGCCTCCTCTTGGGGAGCGAGCTCCAGTCTCTGCTCATTGCCACCACCTGTCTCCGGGAGCACAGCTGTCGCTTCTGGAGAGAGCCGACCTTTTGTGTGCTGAGGGCCATCTCCAGGGTGCAGAGCCCCAGCATCATCCAGTACCTGCAGGGTAGGTCCTGGAGGCTAGGGGCAGGCCTTGAACTCTTGGAGCAAAGCTGAGAGCCTACTTTCTGCAACAACAGCCTTGCATGTACTAGAAGCTCAATAGAGATCTCTGGGGCTATGTAAGAGAAGCACTGTGCCCAGGAGGGTGGTCAGCATTGTGTAGCCCCTTGAGGAGGGCTTCTGTGGCACATGCTGATGCTCTGTTGGAGCAGGGAAAGGGGGACCCGTGTGCCATGCATGCACTGTCCAACACACTGTCTGTACCCAGAACTTCCTTCCGGAAAGGGTGGTTTGGGTGGGCCTGTGGGATGAGGAGGAGGTCAAGGCATCCCCTGGGGTGGCTTGTGCAGCTCTCAGAAGAGGCCCTACTTAGTAGAAAGTCTTGGAAAACAAGGGTTCTGCACAAAGCAGAGTCTAATAGCACCCCCTCTTCTGACCTGGTTCTTCCCTTGGCTTTCTGCTTGGGGACTGGTACATTCCATGTCCAGCCCTGCATGCTCTTCTACTTGACCCACGCTTCTCAGCCTCAATCCCCTGGCACCCTCTCCCACTTCCTCCCCTTCCCCTTCCTCTCCCCCACCTTCTTCCTCCTCCTCACCTGTGTCTTTCCTTCCCTGCACTGGGAGCCAGCCCTGCTTCTCCATGTCCTCTACCATACTATGGCTTGTGTCCCTCATTGTGTGACTTGGGACCTGGCCTCTCTTGCCTGGAAAGAGGGCCTAGAGGTTGTCCCCACTCCTGTGTCACCTGCCAGTCTACAGATCATGGCTATTCTCCTGACTCTCCGGATGCCACCTCCCAGGCGAGCCTTTTCTGACAGGAGCAGCAGCAGACATGGGGACTCCTTCCTGGAAGAGGAGGTGGTGGCAGGAGGGAAGATGGAAGAGCAGGGTTGCCTGGGATCAACAGGGCTATGCTTTCCTCGCAGCTGCAGACTGCATGCGGCTGTCTGTCCAGAACCTCTCCAGGCTGGTGGACACTCTCCCAGCCCCTGAGGTGAGCCAGGCTGTGAGCCTGGTGCTGAGCTTTGTGAAGGACTCCTACCCAATCTCCTCGGCCTTGTTTCTGGAGTTTGAGAACGGAGAGGGATACCCTCTGCTGCTCAAGGTGCTCCTGCGGTAAGTGGCTCTCCCTGGAGGGAACAGGCCACCCCAGACAAGGTCTCCAGAAACATTGGGGTGCCATGTGTCTCCAAGTGCATGTCTTCTGAAATGCAAAGCCCCCTTGAGAATGGCCAGAGGGACCCCTTGCTGCAAAGGCAACGGAGCATGCAGATGGGGTACAGACTACTCCCTCCCAGGGTCCGAAGTAATGACTTTACGCATCTGCATGGTGGCTGGTGCCATCTGCATACTGCTGCCCTACCTTCTACATGTCAGAGCTATGTCTGCAGTGGGGTTTTGAGGGCAGCTATGAGCTCCCAGCCTATGACCCCAGAGGTGCAAATATTGGGAGTGAACACTCCTAGGGGCAGCTCTCAGCCAATGGGTGGTGCGAGCTGATGGGTGAATACCCAGCAAAATTGGCTGGGTTGGGGGCAGTTCTACACTGCCTTGACTTCCCCAGAAGGACTAACGCCAGTGAGGTGGTGAGGTGATGATGCTCCACACGACCTCTCCCCATCTTTTTCTCCGTGATTGGCTCCCCACGAAATCCTCCTCCCTCTTCCAGACTTTGGACTGTGGGAAACACAAAGACTCCATCCACCCGGGGCTAGACTAATCCCTCCACTCTGACTTACTGTGTCACGTGTAGGTTGGGCCCAGACAGCAAGGGATGGAACTCAAAGAAATTCCTCAATGGCCCAGACCCTTCTTCAGAGCTTGGGGAGCTGCTGCAGGGCAAGGCTGCTCATACTTCTTTGAGCTTTGCTTGGCTTCTGGGTGAGGTGCACGTTCAAACTACTATCCACAGACTTCAAGGTGGAGCTAGGCTTGGAGTCTAGAGGGGGTGACTTGAATGGGAAGGATGAATATCCTTGTCCACCAGGATGTGACCAAATGGCAAAACCTTGAGGATCTCCCTCCTAAGGGAACTATGAATAAATGTCCCTCTGGGCACACCACATTCACATTGGTCTGGACCATGACCCACTAGCTGTGGCCACCATGGAGGTTTGCGCCATGGTATTTCCAGAGTGATTCTTTGATTCAATGAATGGTCAATTTCCAAGTTGTCCTGTGGAAGACAGGAGGGGAAACAAGCCTGATCCTGGGAGTGGGGAAGCAGCCACCTGGCATGGTATCTTTCCTTCCTGCCCTACCTGCAGCAACACTGAAGCATTTTTTCTCTTGAAAGGGCCCTTCTGCACCATGTCAGGAGTGGAGCAAGGCAGCCTCCTGCCACTAGGGTCTAAAACCAAGAGTAGTGTCAACCTTCAGACGACCACAAGGAAGTCCTCTGAAGTCCAGTTCTTTCCATGCTGTCTACTATGCTGCTCTTTGGGAATATCAGATCTCTGATTTCAGGGATGCCCCTTTTCTGCTGGTGCCTGAGTACAGATCTTTTGGGGATCCACCAGGAAAAGTGGCTTCCTCTGAAGTGAGGTGCAGGCTCTTGCAGGTTCCTGTGAGCAGTGGCCCCCAGTATTCACCTGGATGTGTGCTAAGACCCCCTCATGGATGCCCCAAACATCCACTGACAGGAAGGAAGTCTATGGACACTATGTTATACATATACATGATAAAATTTAATTTGTAAATTAGGCACAGTAAGAAATTAACAATAAGTAATAATAAAATAATCATATAATAATATAGTATAACAAAAGTTATTTAAACCTTATGAATTGTTTTTGTCTGGAATTTTTCAGTTTCATATTTTCAGACTGTAGTTGACCCAAGTGTAATTGGACCCTCAGTGCCAAGACCCAAAACAAGGGACCAATGTGTTCTCATTGTGTGTCTCCAGATCGGAGGCTGAAGTTTGCAAACAGAGTGACCCCTATATGGGGCAAACTCCTGCCTCTGGGGCAACACTTCTCAGCTGGGGACCTCCAGTCTCCCCAGTGTGGCACATCTGCACTGGCCCTGCATTCCTGTGGGGAGCACCATGCACAAAGGTGTCTGCTTTGCTGTCCCTGCAGGTATGACGGGCTGACCCAGGGACAAGTGGAGCCCCACTTGGAGGAGCTCGTTGGGCTGGTGGTGTGGCTGACCTCCTGTGGGAGCTCAGAGCTGAAGGTGTTCGACAGCATCACTTACCCACAGCTTGAGGGCTTCAAGTTCCACCAGGAGTCTTCTGGTGGGTACTTCTCGTGTGTCTGGGGGACCAGCAGGGTCAGTGCTGTGCCGGGATGGGCAGAGCAGGACTCCCTGGTTCGTTGTGCGCTTGCGTGTGACACAGGGGTGTAATTCTGCTATAACCCCTGGGGAGAAGACTGTGGATCCCAAGTCTCCTTTCTTTCAATTTGTAACTTTCTTCAATGTGTAACTGCAGCTGTGTCCGTGAGGAAGCTCGTTTTGTGAGGACTCAGGAAATACTGCTTACAAAGGCAGAGATTTTCTCAGTTTACGGAGGAGGCCTGTGATGTGACCTCCACCTTGGCTGTGACTTACTCCGAATCATTTGCTTATATAATGGGGACCAATGAATGAATCGGCCACGTAGGCTCAGAGTCAGTGACTTCTCTTCTCAGGACTTTTGATATTGATTGATTGACTGATGAACTCAGTTGGCATGCCACTCTTCCTGTGCAGCTCACACCTGCCTCATGCTGGGTGCCTCCACCCTGTGGACTGCAGGACAAGTGGCTGATGCTCACATCAGACACATCTGTGATGTTGGCAGGTCATTCAGAAAATGCTGATGGAGTGCTGGGGCTCAGAGTGCATTGCACAGGTTGAAATGAAGGCAGGAAATCTGGCCTGGGGAAGACATGGTGGCCTGGAGCAGCTGGATGAGTCCAGGGTAGTGAGGGCTGCTGCACTGTAGAGGCAAGAGGCTGCCAAGCTTCAGGGGAGGTGGAGAGCCTGGACACATGTAGGGGTCAGGCTAGGAAGGGCCGTGGCGGCCTCAGGGAGACACAGGGCATGGAGCCAGTTTCAGACACTTCTCTGGTATCCAAAGCAGAGAGGACTGTCATAGTCACTTTCCTGGTCACTGAGGAAAATGCCTGACACCTGCAATGTAAAAGAGGAAAGGTTCATTTGGGCCCACAGTTTAGTTTTCAGCCCATAGTTGGCTGTCTCCAAGGCATGGCAGCATGGCCTAGGAGCATGGTAGAGCAGGGGTGCTCAGGGTATGGTGGATAGGAAGGAGAGAGATCAAGAGAAGAGCCAGGAGGAGATAAACCCTTCCAGGCCATGCCCCCATTGACCATCTCTTCTGACCAGGCCCTCTTCCAAGGAGTAAGTCAGCTGTAAGCCCCCATGATGCAACTGCCTCCCCAAAGCCCACATCTAGATATAAACTATGACAGAGGGCTGGAGGCCAAGAGAGAGAATGACCTTCCATGGGTCAGGAAGGTGAATTCACTGAGAAGCTTGTCTAGAAATGGCTCTGGCTTGCTTGGCTTGGGCTTTGTTAGTGGCATAGTTTGCTGTCTTTCTTTCTTTCTTTCTTTCTTTCTTTCTTTCTTTCTTTCTTTCTTTCTTTCTTTCTTTCTTTCTTTCTTTCTTTCTTTCTTTCTTTCTTTCTTTCTTTCTTTCTTTCTTTCTTTTTTTTTTGCAGTACAGGGGATCAAACTCAGGACCTTGCCCTTGCTAGGCAGGTGCGGTGCCAATGAGCTAAATCCACAGCCCCTGCTCTGTTTCTTTCTTGTTCTCTATTGGAAATTGGTGGGGAGCACTGCATATTTTGATTGGGGTGGCTGCAGTTGGAGTGCTCATCTTGGCAATGCAGCTTGGGCCTTTTTCATATACTAGGTGGCTGGCATTTTTGGACTATGATGGACATGGACTCACAGGAGTTAGAAAATAGGAACTTCAAATGACATGTCATAATGCACATTTCTAGACATATGTACTATGATCAAAATATTTGGTGAATGTCAAAAACTTTTTAAAACAAAAGTTTTATTACAATAAATATCACATTGCTATTAATAAACACTGCTGCTTACTTCACACAAACTTATCCCTTCATCCTTGCTGCTTTCTGAAGCAGTTCTGGGAGTCCTTTTACTTGAATGTCTTCAGTTGCACTGTCATGGCTGCCTCAATGTCATGAATCCATTCAAAACATTTACTTTGCTTGGTCATTTTGACTTTGAGGAAGAGCCAGAGTCACCTAGCACCAGATCCAGTGAATAAGGTGAATAAAGACGCACTGTCATATTTTTATGAGCCCACCTTTCTGTTGAATGGCACTCAGCCACAGCATTCACCGTATTTCTGATCACACATTATAAAGACACTCAGAAAAGAGGACTTCCAGAACTGCTTCAAAAAGTGGCAAGAATGATGGGATAAGTGTGTTGGAAGTGAGGGGGAGTATTTTGGGAGGGATTCATAGCAACGTATCTTACTGTACATTTTTTAAATGTAAGCATTCACCATATATTTTGTTCACTCCTTGCAGGCAGGAGAAATAACTTGTAAAATGACCCTTGTTTTCATCCTCAGGGGTGACTGTTAAGAATCTTCAGGCTTTCCAGGTCCTGCAGAATGTCTTCCACAAAGCCAGTGACTCAGTTCTCTGTACGCAAGTTCTCCTGGCCATCAAGACCATGTGGGCCTGGAACCCAAGGAACTTCTTCCTGCTGGAGTGGACCCTGCAGCCCATCTCACAGTTTGTGGAGCTTGTGCCCTCAAAGCCGACCCTGGTGCAGGTGCACTTCTTCCAACTGCTGGAGGCCCTGGTGTTCAGGCTGCGCTACGTGCCCCATGAGATCCTGCGCAAAGTGCAGCATCTGATCAAGGAGAGCCCCCAGCCATCCTGCACCCTTGTGGCCCTGCAGAGCATCCTCAAGATCACTGACAGTGAACCCCTCTTCACTGACATCTTCCGGGACTCGGGGCTGCTGGGCCTGCTGCTGGCACAGCTGCGGAAGCAGGCTAAGATCATGAGGAAGTCAGGTGCAGCTCTGGGGCCTTGGGAGGGGTGGGCAAATGGGCACCGAGAGCCAGGCCAGGTCTGTGTTCCAAGCTGGCTATCTCTTGATGGAACAGAGAAGGTGAGCAAGTTCATGCCATGGGCATCGTGAGGATCAGAGAAGGGACTCCTGGTATACTTGGCTTCCAAAAGATCAAGGAGCTTCCCAGCTTCCCCATGAGGAGATCAGAGGGGTGGATGTAACTATAAATGGGCCTGGGGCTCACTGCACCCCTGGCCTGGACACTGTCGGGGTGCAGATGGCAGATGCAGATGGGGGCCTTCAGATCCTTGGAAATGCAAAGGGGACAGGATCCTGGGGC